GTTTTTTTTTTTTTTTTTTTTCTTTTTTTTTTTTTTAAAGACAATTCTTAATGCTTGAACAAATCCCTTTTTCTTCCCCTCGGTAATGTGGTTAACTGTCTGGAATGTGAGCCACTGGAAATTCTTCCCCACAGAAGAATCTCCATTAAGCTTTCAAACAGAGTTACTTCATCCCCACAGCTGCATGGATAGAAGACTTTCTAGTGCCTAAATGCTTACTGTATATGTCATCCTTAAATTTAATTATTTTTTTTTTCCCAGCCAGAGCTTTAGGAGCAGGTGCTAGCCTTTTGCTTCCTTTCTGCTTCCTCTGTGGGGAATGGGCTGGAAAGAGCTAACTAATTAGAAAATTCTACAGGGAAATTAATTCTGCAAACAGCTGAGGAATGGCATTTCAGTACAATGCTCACTTTGTCTGTCAGCAGAGCACTGGTTGGCTTGACAAGTGGCAGTTCTCCCAGATGTTACACGTGTTGCGATGACCAGAACTGCATCATATATTGCCTGTTTACTAAAAGACGTGATGCTGGAAGAGTAAATATACTAAAACTAACCTCTAGGACATGCTATATTGCTGTCACAAGGCAATAGCGTGGTATTTCTACGTAAGCCTGAAGTATAGCAATGAACCAAATGGGTTTTAGCAAGCTTAGTTTCAAATGTTGCCTTTGTTTTCATGTAGGGCTGAGGCATGAAGGAGGAGGGAGAAATGAGACATACTAAGCTACTCAGTGTGAAAGGGCTGGATTGTCAAAAATTAGGCTTGCATATTGTACACATCTAAAAATATGGGCAGATCTGTAACATGTCTGAGCAAAACACTTATTTAAACAGTTGGCTGGTTACGTGCACATGAGAACAGTCAGATCTGCATACACAGGCTTCCCTGTTCAGAGACACTGGGGACTGAAAACTGCTAAGACTCTGAAGGACTGTTGTGAGATGTTTATGGAAACAGCACTTAGTTAAGATATGACAGCCTACTCCTTTCTCAGAGATCTCACTCCTTTCTCAGAGATCTCAGTTTTGTCACCTTAGTATTTCTTACTTATGGCCAAAAACCCCATTTAGCCACATACCCTATCTTAGTGATCTGTCAGGTTCTCAACCTGCTTCTCGTGGCAGACTTTTGTGACCCTCAAGCCAAGAACAGCGTAAAAACCCCATTCCTCCTTACAACCATATTCTTTATCTTTTCCTTCCAAAACCCCCAGATTTTTCCTTGACCTATTCATAACATGAGGCAACCCTCAGAAGCAGACTTGTCATTCACACTCTTCTCAGGTTGACTTGGCATTCCTTGTTTCTGTCCTGCCAGGAGATGCCCTGGGCTTTGCTTTAGTGTTCAGCTCTGCAGAAGTGTCCCCCAGAATCCAGATGCCTGGGAATTTGCCCTGAATTTACAGAAAGACAGACTTGCAAGTGCCATTGGGTAATATAGAACTGCTTTTCTTACCTTTTGGTCCAAACATGATGTTGAAGCTTTCATTGTTATGAATATCTCTTTATGTGGCAGCTGGTTCATTTTTTAGATGTCTTATTCTCCCTCAGTGGGTCTTGTAGTCCTGAGCTGTTTTTTGTACTCTTTGTCTCTGTCATGAGAATCTAAATGCATTTCCTTCTGTGTCTCCTAGGAACTAATTTGCCAGATCTAAGAATATAAAAAGCAGTGCATTCAGGTAAGTCCCATGAAAATATGTCACACTTCTGTAGCTGAATATTTTCCAATACATTTTCCTTTTTCTCATATTTGCTCTACTGTAACAGCACTCTTGTCTTTATTTCCCCCCGCCTTTCCCTTGTCCTGTACTTCACAAATGCAGTAATAATCTATATTTCATCTCAGTCAAAAATCTCATCACTCCCTATATTCTCATCAGTCTGTTATCTCCAGCATAATTACATTACTTAATACATTGTACAGTTCAAGGACTTTTTTTAATAGTGAACAATCTATATCCTATTACCAGTCAGTGTTATCATGCAGATGTTATTTGAGAATTACTTGGTTTTGAAATTTTTTTAATAAAAAAAAAATTGTATTTTTGGTATGCTTATGCTACAGTGTGATCATCTTCCAGCACTAACCCCTAAAGTAACTAAAGGGCTATGACTTTGAAAGAGTAATTTTCACAGAAGATCATCACGCTTTTGGTGAAAATAATGGCATTCCATTCTTTGTCTTAAAGAGAAATCAAGCCAGTTTCTATACTTCCTAAATTTACTTCACCTGATAGCAATTGTAGTTTTCCTAATGAGATGTAATTGCTTAAGAAACCATTGAAATTAAATCACAGCTAAATATTAACAGCTTCCCCTTATTGTGTTTTAATTAATTTTTATAGTTGCATACACCAACAAATCGGAGGCACTAAAAAGGCTCCAAAAGAGAGGTGCAGAGACTCTTGAATATAAGCAACTTGATTCTAAAGTCTCTTTGAGGTCGTAATGCCCTAATACAGAAGATTTATTCTGCAGTCACATTTTTTGAATTAATTGACTTTTTAATTTTGAAGTGCTGAATGCATCACTACTTGGCAGTTTTCCAGAGTGCATTGTGATATATCTGATGCATGTATTATAGAAATTTGTCAAGAGATCCATGTTTAACACGAAGGCCTGTTTGCATTTGAAACAAGAATACGGTTAAATATTATTATCACATATTCTTCCCAGAATTACATTTTTTATTATGGAGCGCTTACTAATTACAGGAATACTGTCAGCTGAAATTTTTAAAGTGATTGTCAAATGGGAAATAAAATGGAAAAAGTGCACACAAATGTCTATCTAGATTGCCTTTATATACTACCTAGATAAAAGGTCTTAGTGATTTAATTTTCTATTTATTGTCATCCAGATGTTCAAAACACTGACCCAGATGGCATGGCAATTTCATTTTTTTCAACTTATGATAATGGATTAAATCATAAAAAAGAGCTATATTACATCTGTGGAGATTGACTAGGATGATTTGTACTAAATGGATTTTTTTAAATGGGATAATTTTTTTTCCACAAAGTTCAATAAGAGTCAAGATTATATCTCTATGTGTTTTGGAGCCAAAAAGTGTAAGTAAAGCAGAAATACAGCTGTATGAGGAAGTTGCTGAATAATTGCATGTTTGCACTATTTGCTCAATGGTATAGCTGATGAATGTTTATGAGTTTTCCTGTAAAGTATAACATAAATAGAGCAGCATGAATAAGGATGTTTCATGTGATGTGATGGTCATCAGAAAGAGCAGGAGGGATCAACCAGAAGGAAGAGATGTCCTTGTTTTGGGAGCATGGGAGTGTGTGGGGATGTAAGGATGACAGGGAGGTTAGGTGAATTGGGCAGTGAATTTTAAAAAAACCTTATAATTAATTTAAATGTTTCATTATGTTGTAAACACAGTGCTTGTTTCCTTTGGGGTAAAATAAAATAGTTTCATTTGTCTTTGTGTGTTCAAGAGGACTGAATTTCCATTTTGGTTTCAAGAGATCTATCCTTTTAAAAATTTAAATTCTATTTCAAAATGTTAATGCTGGTTTAAGAAATCAAAACTTTTGTTTATTTACTTATTTCCACTTCAACTTCAGTGAGTAGCTTTGTTCCCGAAAGTGGGGTAAGTGAACTACTTTGCTTTGATCTGAGTTTGCAAAGGGTTTTAGGATGTCCCAGACTCAATTTTTAAATTAATTTTGTATTCATCAAGAAATTTAATTAATCTCTAGCTATGATGACTTGTTTTGCAAGATTATTTTTTTTTGTATGTGTTTGCCACACATATTGCAAGAGTTAATAAGTAAAACCAATTTGATTTATGACTTGTTTTGCTTGGACAAGTTTATGAATAGCAATGCTGTATATGTTTTTAATTAAATTCTTTCTTTCCTCTAAGGATCTCACTATCCAAAACAAATTGAGAGTTTTGTTTAGAAAGTTTACTCACACCTTGTATTATTATGTATACTCTTGAGACAAACTTGCATCTGCGTTAGATATTTATAAGAATGGTTTCCAAAGTTCAGAATGGAAACTCTTAAACTTTCATGCTGTCCCTAAGTTTTAATATCTGCCTGGCTTAACATTGCATTGCAATATTAACACAAATCCTTTATTTTGCATAATAGATACATCCCTGCAAAATGTAAGCTTTTTCTTCATACATTTTACGAAAAGATGCAGATAACATTCGTCATTGAATTTCTAGATTATTCAGTGTGGTCGACATTCATAAAGCATTTTATCTACTACACTTTAAAAAATTTCCTCTAGCTGGTTTAAAAATGTGAGTGCTATTTATTTCTCTGAAATCCCATGAATTTGTTGTTTGTAGGCATGGCCTGGAAAGGAAGGAAGGATAAGAAGACAGTGGGAGTGAATCAATATTTCATTCTAGTGATGCTTTTGCGTTACTCCAACTGGTCAGTTTTACGTATAAACCTCTGACTGCAGTGCTATCCATCACAGTTGCTCAAAAATGAAAAGCTACATCATCTTTGCTGATAGCAGCACAGATGAGAAAACAGGTAGATATTTATGCCAGCTTTATTCTCTGACTGAAGGCTTTGACAATTTAAAAAGCTGCACCATTTTTCCCAAAGACCAGGCATGTAGGGGGTGGACCTGTGTGCAAGGCAAGCCATGCTAACCTTCTTATGGTGTCTCTCCTCTTCTTCCTCTTGCAGGAACAATGCCTACCTCAGATAAAATGTCTTGGGAGCTCTGGAGAATTTAGACCTTGGAAATTTTATGGGGCTGCTGATCTGAGCTACTGAGGAGACTTTTGCAAATGTGCCTTCAGATGACACAAACCCAGAGTAAATCCCTTCAAAACCTCACTGGTGTTTCTAAAACAGCATCAAAGGACACACGTCAGTGGTACAAGGAAATTAGGTGGAAGTTGAAGAGCTAGATTACCCTCTTCTGAGTCAGGTAAGCAGACCGTAGCAAATACCTTACTGTCCTCGCATCTGTTCATGAGCAGTGTCTGGTGCTACTAATATCCATGCACATTTGTTAGCCTTCAGAACTCTCTTTAGATACAAGATTTGGCACTTGTAGGTGTTAGAGGTACGTCTCTAAATATGAACACGAGCGGATACCTTAATATTTAAATAGTGCATAATTGATAATTAGTTTATGCAAATGTTCTTTATCTAAACAAAACATAGAAAAGCAAGAGGGTTTTACAGAAGGTTTATCTTGCTTTCAATTTTTTCTTAATTTTAATTGGTCATCTAATCCTTCCATTGTATGTATCAACAATATCCAGAAAGACAACAACCTAATTGTGTTAAGGATTAATCTAAGGATGCTACTTAAACATCTGCATGTTGTGGCCAGAAAACCATTCTATTAAACTCATCAGAGGGCCTGCTATTACCATTAGAGAAGTGTGTTAGAGGTGACTAAGGGAACCAGTCAAGTCCCTCATGCCTGAATGAAATAGTCATGGCACGCGGATAAAAAAACAGATTTCCAGAAAGGACTATGAGTGTCTTGCCATCCATCAATAACATTTTTACCGTTGACTCCCATAGAAGCAAAGTTAGGCCAGAACTGACTGCTTCTGAAATCCCACCCTTATTACCTTCTTAAATGTCAGCATGCTTGTCTTTTTCCAAATGTTGGAAAAAACCCTGAAATCTCTGCCCCTCAGCCCCAGGGGCAATATAAAAGAGGTTAGTTGGTGGGGTTTGGGGTTTTTTTGTTTTTTGTTTTTAAATTTTGGTTTTTGGTAGGCCATCTAGAAAAAAAAAAAAGAGTGGAAATCAGATGAACACAAAATGACTTGTGACACATTTGGCAAATGGTAGTGTTTGCAGAAGTTTGCTCACAAAAACTGTTGTGTAAGCATCCACTTGCTCAGTTTGAGTAAGAGGGTTGCTTGCCAGGAAGGGGAATAAAAAAGATCACCCATTGGCCATATTCATCCTTTCCATGTATATTTTACTTTGCCTATGACGACTCTCAAAGTGCTTGGTTGGAATGGCAATACTGCTTGCATTTTTACAACTAAAGCACAGGAGATTAAAGTGAAGATATGAAAGCATGAATGCTGGAAAAGTTACATTCCTGGAAAAGAGAAGTATTTGTGAGCTGACAGATAAACCTGCTGCTCAGAAGTACACCAAGAACCTTCAGATGTTCAGCATTTATGACAATCAGAACACTTATTTAGGAGCCTAAGTTATGCACTAAGTGACTGTCCCAAACTTTCAAAACATGTTAGGAAAAAAGCAGGAATAAGAAGAACGTAAAATATTTATAATTATCTATCCTAACTACTAGACCGTATAATATATCCCTTGTTTTATTTTGGCAAAAAAAATGTATGGCCTGAATTCTTATCTTTATTTATTATTTTTTTTTTAAATAGAAACATAATCTAAGGAGTGTCTTTTAAGCTGGGTTGTATTTTAACCGGGTTGTTGCTGAGGAACTAGAAAAATCTGCAAGTCTCACATTTTGCTTTACATATTCAATGTTTCAATGACTTATCATTTTGTTCCATTCATAAAATTATGCCATATGCAGTCATGTAGGATTTGTAGAGAAGTTGACATGTCCTTTCATTGTTAAAAATATTGGCTTGGAATAGAATGGAATGAAGTCAAGTACAGGAAGGAAATGACTATGGAAACTGTAAGAATTTGAGACCTCAGCTATCATCAGACGCAACAAAACATTTCCTCTTTTTATTGGAAGGCATGTAATTACTGATCAGAAAAAAATGGCCAAGAAATATTTCAAGAAGGTATTTGGCTTCTGAACGCTAATTCTGCCACCAGAGTACTTGCGAGGCATAAGCAGAGCATCACATTTTGATATTTTTTTGTTACGTTAAAAGAAGTTATAGATAGAGCTCAGGCCACTACTGTCTGTTTCAAGGGGCTCTACTAAATGGCCTTACACCCTCAAAATCTTCTTTATTAAAAGAAAGATAAACTCCAACAGCTGTTGGTAAACTATGTTTTTTTCATTTAAGTAGATAAGTTTATGATGGATACACCTGATTACATTATCAGAGTCTAGGAATTTTAAGATAAACTCAGGTTTATCCAGAGAATTGTCCAGAGAAATTCAAGCCATTCACAAATTGAAATAATTTTCAAATACATCACGTTAAAGACAAATAGAGCTACATATGTAATGCTTATGCAAAAAACTTTCCAAGTCAGTTGGAAACATTTAAGTGTGGCATGTGTTTAACCTTCACATGATAACAGTGTTGCTTTCAGCTGGTAATAATGAAGTCATGCCTAAAACATTTGCATATCTAAAACATATTCATAAAGTAGACTTTAATGAAGCCATTTTCAAATGTTTATTGTCATTTTTACTCTAAGTTAAAATGATATATTCTTCACAAGAGTATTAAATTAAATGCTAGTGTGACAGAACAAACTCACATTAAAAATATGGAATATTTATTGCACAAAAAGAAGAAAATATATTGGGCATGGACAATAGCTCTTCAGAAAGCGTTAGCACAGGGGAAAACTAAGAAATGTTAAGCATCTTGGCTATTCTTAACTGTGAGTGCAGTGAAAGTCACTTTTTTTCTGAATAGAAATAGGGGTTATTTGTACCTGCATCTTCATATCTTAAAGCTACCTTAAAGAACGTTAAGTGAAAGCTAATTCTAATTAACTACCACTTAATCAGTTAATATTTGAAGAGATCAGCTTTGCCTGGAAGAAGGACAGGGCTAAATCTGCAAAGAATACAATGCTGGCTAGTGCAAGACCTAACTTTAAGGCACCCTGCCAGCTGGCAGGAATTTTTGCTCCAAGATTAGGCACATCTCTTCCTTAATGAATGCAGGGGAAGAGCTAAGTCAGCTCAGCGTAATGTCACTGGAGACCAGCAGACTGAACTCTTCCAGAGAAAACCAGCAAGATGTCAGCTGTATCCCTTAGAGTAAGGCATTTAGTCTACTTAGGTTTCTCCACTGTGAATCTGGTCTTTGAATTAAACATCTCCAAATTGGCCAATGGAAATCCCATCCCAATATTTAAAGCCTTCACCTGAAAGGGGACTTGTTTTCCAAAATCTCTTCTGCTTTAGCTTGAAAACATATTTCTCTGGCTTCCAGGTTCTTTTTGCTGATTTTTTTTTTTTTTTTACTTAGAATATATTGTATAATTTGAGGGATGGGGAGGACAGTGCAGTTGATCAATCAACTTGAAAGTTAGCTATTCCTTGGCAGAGGAGAGACTAGTATTCAGGTTCCCGGTGTAACAAATGTTTACTTTATGCAGAGAAGTGCTTCAGTGGAAGAGACTGGTATGTGATAGTCAAAAACTGCCAGAATTATTGAAGGACAGCTGTGTCAATTAAGTAAATTAGGGCAATGAGTATTCAGTCACAGAGTCATGTATATATATATATATATATATGGAGACAGAAAAACCAGGGACCTATAGATATCATCTTTGTTCATGTACACCACAAAAAAAAGTGTCTCAGAATATAGGACAAAATAAGAGTGAGTACTTCTGCCTTTTCATAACTCATTGTTAAATTCTGAAAAATCATGGAAGATGCCATTGTCTGATGAGAAAACCTTTATTAAGAGAATAAAAGGAAGAAAGTAAAAACAGCAAAATCCTTTATTCTGCATACTTCTTAAGGGAAGCATAGAGAAAGCCACAAATGCAAAATGGCAGAGATCAGATTGTTTTGTCTATATCTGCAGCCAGTTGAGATGTAACCACCTGGCAAAGTGAGGAATCACTGCCCAACCGAACACGTATCACGTGGAGAGGTAGCACTCTTCTGCTAGTTCATGACAAAGTAAATAGTTTAATGATCGTGTGACCGTGTGGCTGAAGGGGCACCCTGCTTACGACAGGCTATGGGTGGCTGTGGAACATTGCCCTGGAAGAATTTGCAATATTTCCGGCAGGGAACCCAGATGCTAATCAAATCTATTATTTTCTTCCAGACCTAAACTATTGGACTCTTCAGTTTTGGATTCAGAATGGCAGAAAATCTTCACTTTATCCAGTTCAACATTTTTAAGGTAACGGTCACAAAACAATGACTTTTCAGCCCTGTTGACAAAGACTGGAAGGTGCTGGGAAGGTCATGCAGATCTGTGTTTCCCTGTGTGCACGCAGACTGCTCATTAAATCTGCTTGGTCATCTCACTTATGCATTGAACTTGACAAAATCAAAACAAAATCGAAACCCAGCCCTTAAAAGTAAGAAGCACTCAGCCTCAGAGGGTGTTTAAGGGAGTTATTCCAACTTGATCTTTCTCCCACAGACCCTCCATGGGAGGAAATATTTATGGAGGAAACAAACTGGAAAAGATCACAAAGAGCCTGCCGCATAGATTTCCTGGTGTTATTCTATAGGGGAAGAGGCAAGAGTTCTTTCTTCAAATTCCTTTCCCCGCATAAACAGGGGGAAGAATATTGTCTTTTGTCAACATTCTGTTTTGCTCATTTGCTGTTCTCTTCAAAACATGTTCTATGAAGATGCAATTTATTAATCATGACTGTTGTGTTCTGTAACAAAAATGATCCGTTGGGACCATATTTGTAATATGTGCTGAAATGTATTGTTTGCTAAGTGGCCTTATCTATAATTCAGAGAGTCTTTGTGTGCTCTGGAAGACCATTTGGCAAACTGTGCAAGGAAGTAATTTAGTTATCTGGCTGCATTAAGGATGAAATCAATTTAAGATGAATTAGGACTTCTAGAAAAGTGATATGAGAAAAACCAACCTAAGTTCTTGGCTTTGGAAGAAGTAATTAGCCAGTACTGCAAGAGCTGTGGTGATCATGCAAATCGGATATCCTTTAGTGGATCTAGAGGAGCAATTTAAGAAAGTGTTGTCCCCAGCTTTCCATTCCTGTCTCTCAGCTGGTTGTTACTTTCACAATAGTGTAGATGTGGTGTGTACCCTAGCAAGTGCTTCTAGCCTGATTCAGTGACAAAATAGTTAGATTGATTTGCTCTCTGCCCTCTGAATAATCTAAAACAGTGATTTAAATTAAATTCAAATGAAATAAGACTTCATTTCAGTTTGAGTCCTTGTCTCCTTCTCTTGTTGCTCATGGTCATAAAAATGTTGTAGAGGGTATGTTGCAACCCAAGTGAAGGCAAAGCTCCAATTGAGATTTACTTCAGTTCCAGAAGGTTCAGGATCATCACATGAATTTAGAGACTAGTTTTTGAGAATACACTGCTAAGTCTTTGCTAAGTGAAGATAGAGTTCACAAGCATTTATTTCAAGTCATTTGCAATGTGGTGATAAATCTGTGTAATTTTATTTCCAGCTCAACAGGACATTGGATGTTACTAAACTGTTTAATGTACGTAACGTGATACTCTATGATAAAAATGATCCATTAGTGAGCTGAGTGACAAAAAAGAGTATCTAAAAAAAATCCTTAAGGATAGGCCAAGATCATTTGCATTTATTTTAATGATATCCAAATGGTGTTCTAACTAAAGATGTTAATAATTATGATGAGTAATAAAACTCGAGAAAGACTTAAACTTACTGGCAGGCTTTATTCTGCTGCAGTGTTCTGTTTGACATAATTCCATAACCTCTTCCCTTCAATAAATGTCAACTACTTTGTTTTATTTTTTTAAATTTCTTAAATGTTCTAGCTGTGAAAAGAGACAGAGCATGAAAATTGTCAGGGATATATCACGTTTTGCATTCACATGCTCATGTTTTTTGTTAGGGTGACTGAAAGGCCAGAGAAGACGCTGCAGGAAGACTTGCAAGCAACAATAAATATGGAAGTTGTTTCCAATGCAATGTTTTGAAATGCTTTAAGAGCTTTAATCAAAAGGTCCTGCTATGATCATTTCTGGTAGAGGAATAAGAGTAGTATTTTGACAATAAATATTTTATTTCTGATGTTACTTTCTCTGAAAACCACCATTGGGAAAGTGGAGGTAATTGATGACAACACAGATTTAAAGAATGCTATAAACTTATCTCATGGAAGAAGATGATGACAGTTTTTGAACATCGCCGACCAGTCAAGAACTGCTGCCGCCAGATGAAAACCTCCCATTGTTTTTACTCTGAAGCTTGATTACTTAATAAAAACATCTCTGTGACTCAGTAGTATCTGACACACGGGAACTACCTCAAAGGCCTTTGAGGTCCCTTCCTCTCAAATGTCCTTTAGAAGGCAGAATAACACATCTTTGTGGTGGCTCCAGATCATCTACAGGGACCTCTCTACCCATGACCACCTGGCTTTCAGTGCTCCTCTCTATGGCCGGTTTGAGAGTGTGGGACTGGTCTTCTGTTTCTGTGGTCCTACAGACATAAACATTATAAAATGATGGAATCATAATGGCCTAATCCATCTCCTACCAAGAAAATTGTAAGACTCTTAACTCTTCTCTGGGGCTGAAACTGAATGAGTTTGTGAACAAGTCACAGAAGGCACCAGGTGTGGTTAATATTTGCACCTGGACTGACAGTGTTCGGTGCAGGACAAGCAGAAAAAGGCAAATGAAGAGCTTTAATTTCTAAAGTGGGCACTTACACTGTTGCAGACAGAACCTCTAGATGCAGATTTGGTCTTGGAAAACAGTTTATTTTGGAGTGTACTATGGAGGTGGCCCTAAATAATCCCTTACCCTACACATCTTGGAAGAAACTAAGAAAATCATAATGTGACATTTTGCACACACGTGAACTGCAGTCCATACCAAATGAAGCTCACTGTGATGAATGACATTGGGTTAAAGACAAATCTGTCCCTGAGTGTCTTCCTCCTGAGGTCAAGACTGAGAGAAATAAGCAAAGCTAATAAACTTAATCCTTGACCCAGCTTTACCGGCATTTCCAAAGGCTGTTTCAGAAAATATAAACACATTAAAGAATAGCCAGAAAACCAATCTGCTCAGCAATCACAGATTTCTCAGTTGTGTGTTGAAGACATAGCAACCTAAATTACCCTTGAAATGACTATTTCATGTCATACACTTTTCTGAGCTATATTTATAGGAGATTTCATACTAGTAGTACAAGAACTTATTCAAGACAAGGCTTTAGCTTGGGTTTATGTTAGCATATAATTTGTAAAAGTTTGTAATAAACATGCCTCATTGAGACTGGCAGAAATTATAGGAAGGAAAACACCACTACTAACTTTGGGCTACTTGCTTTGATTCAGACCTCATTGTGCTGTGTTTGTTATGTCAGCTCCAGAACTGCAGAGAAGTGATGAATCGCTGTGTAACTAAGACCAGAGTTTCCAAAGCAGCCTCGTCTTTTTAGAAACTCTCTTTTGATTAAGGATTGTGACTTCCAATATAAATATTCATCAGAGGCCTGATGCTTAGATCAGGAAGTATACTAACAGGCTTTCATTCAGATAGGAAGAAATATGCAATGCATAATTCAAGACCTTAGGTCTGAGCTGGCATCCTGTTATACACCCACTGAAGTCGATGAAATTTTAGGGTGGACAGGAAGTCCCAACTGAAGTCTTACAAATAAACACTTAGTGAATATTTATATAAATATGGTAAACAGCACAGAAAAATACCAGTATGCATGCTGGTGGTCAGTCTGAAATTACTACTCTTCTCAGGCCAGTTTTTATATCCTCTAGGATAATAGGTCTATCATTATTTTTCCAATGCTTTTCAACTCGTGGTAAGAGATGGTTTCCCCTCTGTTAGTCACACAAACTAAACACATGTCTGTAATCTCAGTTTAGCTGCATTTGGAAACTAGTCTTGTTTGTAAATGATGAAAGGAAACCAGGCAGGAACCTATTTACCAAGTTTCTCTGTAGAAGCATTCAGTTTTTCCAAAGTAACACTTTTCTCCACACTGACCAGCTTCTCTGCACTGGATAAAGTTTCTGAATCCTTCAAAATACCAGTTTATCATTGGTACAACTCAGAAGCTTAAACGTTAAAGCATGCATCTATGTCTTTGAAAGTGTGTTTTATAAACTATTGTGATATTTCACTTCATGTGTGTACATTCTGTTATTTGAAATACATAGATGTTTTGGTCAAAATTACTCATGACACTGTCTGAGACACTGAGCAAGCTCAGAATGGCTCCAAAGAGCCAACACTTTAAATAATTTAAAGCTATGTTTCTTGTTCTTTCAAAATAAGCTTAATCTATTACTTACCTGTCCAGGAAGCTACTGTTCAAAGGTAGTGGACAATTGTGAATTAAGTGAAAAAAAAAAAGCTGTTGGTATAAATTAAATATTTAATTATAATAAACTGTGGCATTTTAATAATTAGCAAGAAGTCTTGTATTTATAGATTTTTCATAACTTAGTATGTAAGTAATGAAAACAAAACATTGATTATTCAACATACAAAAGCCAATTCTAAAGGTATAACAGATGAAGAGTGCCAAAGACAGAAGAGTGAATATTTTTTAAAAGCTATGCAATCATGTAATTAAATCGAGTGGATTAACTATGAGAATTCATACACATTCAGGCAAGTTAGTTTCTGTTCTCACTGACACTGGAGAAATAACGAAATTTCTGTTTCCCTACAGGTACACACTGCTTGGAAAACCATCTATTAACGTTGAAATTAATAGCATCAAGACCATTCATTCAGCAAGCCCAAAACCATAACAGGACTCAAATAATCAGTTACATAACAATGAAGTGTTTATGAGGGTGCAAGTTCTTCCAAATTGCTGAAATATTACAAGTATTACCTTGTTAACATTTGAATCACAGGCATGACCAAAACAGTAACACAGAAGAACGGCAGGAAGGAGAGTAAGAACAAGAGAGAGCAACTGACCTTTTCATGATGACAGTGCTTGACACCTTCTGCTGTTCCACTTTCTCCAAGTCATAGTCTCAAAAGTCTAAATTCTCTCTTCAAAGAAACAAATTCATTTAAAAAGCCTTTAAGAACAGCATCAAAGACTGTATGTATTTATACATATAGGTGTCTCTAAATATGCCAACTAAACTGCTGTTTCTTTGAGATATTTCAACATCACTGGTGGTGAAAGCTGCTTTGTTTTAAATCATCTCCACCAATGGGTTTTTCAGTCAAATCAAGACGTTTATTTTTAATGGTGTTTTCTATTAAATGGATAGCCAGATGGAGGCTGTGTCGCCAGCAGAGCCAGCAAATCCTGCCTAAAATGTGCAGGCACACTTTGTGCTGGTGCTTGCTCTTTAATTTGCTTCCTATAGCTCACTAGATACAGAGAAGACCTACCTGTAATCAGCTTCTCCACCTGAAAGAGATTAACTTGATAAATTCAGGGAAAATGAAGTGACCAAGAATCAGCTGTTAGTGTCTTTTCCAGTGGTAACCATACTTAGGCTTTACATTTTCCCATAGATACCATACGTACCTGTTGAACCTAGTTATATCTTCTGCTGTACCAGTGGAGATAAAGTGGGCATTTGATGGGCTTTTTTGATTCCTGAGGCCACTCAGTTGCTCTGTTTCCTGTTTTATGGTAGATCCTTTTTTTCTGTATTAAGTTCATATGAAATGGAGCAGTTTTCATATGGTTTTGGAAGTATGTGACCAGCAAAGCAGTCTCAAAAAACCAGCCAGTTTTATTTTCAGTTTATATTGCTGTAGATCTTGAATATCTTCCGCTTTACAAGCACCTTTCTGTAAAAGAAACAAAAGACAGATTTCTTACTCCCTGGCCATCCTGCAAAGTCCTGCATGAAACAGCCCATAGGTCTCATAGCAGTAATTCAGTCAAGTGCACAAATTCCACTCTTACCCCTGTATTTCTTACGCTGAAGTTGACAATCTCTTTGGGGAATGACGGTGAGAAGACTGGGTGGCTCAAAATATTATTGATGGGCTGCTGAACGTCTGGCTACAGATTTTGTAGAGTCATGAGGGAATTGACCATGCACTCTCTATTAATCTTCTATTAATTTATCTTGTGGCTGAATCCCACAGCTAATGTTGAAGACTTCAGCCCTCCATTTAGCCAATTTGGTCAAAGGCAGGCTGATGGCAACTGAAAGCTGTGACCAGCTGATGGCTGTATCTAAGGGTAGTTTGTGAAAATTGCTTTACTGGCCTTAGTCCAAATTTTACTAATAAAATGTCAGTATCTAAAAAAAAAAAAAAACCCTCCAAAATAACTGCTGGCTGAAGGTTCAAGGGCAACCAAGGGTTTAAAGGCAAGAAGGGTGAACTTGTCTCTGCTAGAAGTATTCTCTGTACGCCAGCAATGAAGTGCAAAGGGGCACATTTATGTTAGCACCACCCAGGCTGTCAATGAAGAACTGTCCTCAGAAATACCAAATTGACTTCATATGAATTTCTCACTCTTACAAAACCGTTTTCCCACCAGGCAGAAGAGATCACAAAATTAAGCAGCATTCCCTCCTTCTCACATCTCTGCAGTTTGTAAACACTGTGCCTGTCATAATGGTCCCAGGAGGTTTCCTTAACCATAATGTCTCATCTCTGCAAGCAGCTGCTTCCTTTTTGCATCAGAGTTCTTGGAGACTTGCTTCGCTTATCAAAACTAAACCACTGAAAAGCTGGTAAATAACCAAGTTCTATGGGGAAGAAATCCCACTGCAGTTGGACAGATTTTCTTAACCTATAAAATAATTCTGGAATAGCTGGTTTTTTGGCAAGATTCTAAAATGTAACAAAGTTTGATTGTTCTTAGCTTCTCCTAATTTTCTTACTTTGGGGTTACAGATGACCCTCAATACACACATGTTAGTCCCATTACTGTTAACAGGAGTTAAATATACACACATATCTAAGAAAGGCTTGACCATTTACTCTTAGTGTTCCAAGGTCAGCTGAAGTCTGGACCTTTTACTTTCTCTATGCTCCACTAATTGAGAACAAAGCTTATGCAAGACTTCCTTGGGGAACACGAGGTCTGAGGTTTTTACAGTCCACAAGGCTAAAATTCAAATATGAACCACAGCTGTTTGGACAGGAGTCCTGGACCTCTTTGTTTTGAACTGTAGTGACCTGCTCAGCCTTACCAACATGTGAAACTCTGAAAGCCCTGACAGCTAATGACTGGGATGTGACAATACCTAGGAGGTAGACCTGGGTAAAGTGACTAATTTATAGTGCTCTGGGATTTGCAGGTGGCAAGGCTGTTCTCTCTCCCCCCTCCCGCCATTGCTATACACATCATTTAATGCATATACATACGTGCATACGTACAGATTTGAATCTGTGTTCACCATCCAACCAGCTGACTCAATGTTCTTGTTGCAGATGGTGAAGTTCCTCCCCTCTGCCAAGTACAGGTATTTTTATGAGTCCCTGGTAAGAGATAAAATAAGAAAGGAAACAAAGTGTGGGATATAGTAGTCATTCAGCTTAAGTAGTGATAGACCTCCAGTGCCCTAACACTTTTAAATACATTCTCTATACCCATGGTAGTGCATTTATTTTGAAGTATATAATACATATAAAAGTGCCAGTTAAACCTTCCCTCTGATTTACATGCACTTACATGAATATTTAGAATGACAGCAATGAGTAATTTTGCAGAACAGAGACATGATATGCTGGATAACAGTTAATCTATTTAAATGGACTGGTAGTCCACCTTTCCGTGGCCACGATCAGCTGATAATCTCAGTGGAGGCTGCTTGGCTAATCATGTTTTTCTTGAAGTCAATGACAGATCATCTAATACCACCTTACATTTAGAATCCAATTCTGTTATCTTTGCAAAAATGATATGTATTCTCTAAATTAATGCCTGATCACAAGAAGACAAAGCATATCTTGATTTCTTTTGGGTGTCTGACCTTTCACATTCATTTTGCTGTTGCAAAACACATTAAATACTATGGAAAGACTGTGGAAAAAAAAGCATTTTCTTATCTGTGAAATAATGAATATCTTTGTGCATCCAAGATAATAGGTATTCCAGCATTCATACTTACTATAAAATATAGCAAGCAAAGGCTGAGTGAATTCCATTCAAGTACAGGTATTTTTATGAGTCCCTGGTAAGAGATAAAATAAGAAAGGAAACAAAGTGTGGGATATAGTAGTCATTCAGCTTAAGTAGTGATAGACCTCCAGTGCCCTAACACTTTTAAATACATTCTCTATACCCATGGTAGTGCATTTATTTTGAAGTATATAATACATATAAAAGTGCCAGTTAAACCTTCCCTCTGATTTACATGCACTTACATGAATATTTAGAATGACAGCAATGAGTAATTTTGCAGAACAGAGACATGATATGCTGGATAACAGTTAATCTATTTAAATGGACTGGTAGTCCACCTTTCCGTGGCCACGATCAGCTGATAATCTCAGTGGAGGCTGCTTGGCTAATCATGTTTTTCTTGAAGTCAATGACAGATCATCTAATACCACCTTACATTTAGAATCCAATTCTGTTATCTTTGCAAAAATGATATGTATTCTCTAAATTAATGCCTGATCACAAGAAGACAAAGCATATCTTGATTTCTTTTGGGTGTCTGACCTTTCACATTCATTTTGCTGTTGGAAAGACTGTGGAAAAAAAAGCATTTTCTTATCTGTGAAATAATGAATATCTTTGTGCATCCAAGATAATAGGTATTCCAGCATTCATACTTACTATAAAATATAGCAAGCAAAGGCTGAGTGAATTCCATTTGTTTTAATACGGAAATAATTTTGACTGCATCTTTGGCTTTGTGTGACATGGAAACTGGTGATTGTTTATGCTTTGCTACTTTTTTTGGTCTGCATTAAAATCCCACATGAGAAAGAAATTTTTCTCTAGGAACAAAATGTTACTTTTTTGAGACTGGGTTCTAATTAGTTGGGTAGTTTCTTTTCTGTCTGTTTCTTTTCAGTTGGGAAAACGCAATGCATATAAAATCCAGATGGATAGCACATGATGCTGGAACCAGCCCCAGCCAATCAGCCACGTCACTTGATTAAAAGAAACCTATAAGAACTTAAGTAAAAAACCAAACCCAACAAGATAGTAAGATAGATCTGGCTGCAATATGGGATTTCATCATCCTCTGAGATTGCTCTTCTTTTGCTGGTTGGCCTCCCCACACTGTATTGAAAGTTAACCTGTAGTTGTACTTAATTTAAACTTGCGTAGGATTTGTGATTAAGACCCTAAAAACCAGTGGTGGAAGACGTGGTAAGCAGGATGGGCAGGAAACTCATCATCAGACTACATCAGGCCACAAGAACCGCAGCTTTAGGGCAATGGGCTCTTTGGAAGAACTTGGCTGAGAGAAATCCATCCTGGAACAAACCCTAATATTGCAGACCAATTCTTTTGGTATGGATTTTGTCTGTGAATGATCGGACTTTCAGAGAGCAAGTCAGCCCATATTATGGCAATTACTCACCGCCTCGCTGGGTACAAAAGCTCCTGAGTATCTTGGGGTTTCACCAGACTTGAGAGTGAGATTTCTGAAGAGGTCTAAGGCAGGCTATGAAGGAGTCTGAAGGAGGGGCAGGCAGGCCTTGCGGAGGGATGGAGCAGCATCTGGAATCTCTACGGACAACTGTAGGAATGTTTATTATTCTTTGTTTATTATTTTGAGTGTGTGCTCTCTCCCTCTTCCTCTCTTCGTCTCCCTTTGTTATTTGTGTAATAAAATTCCTCTAGGCATATAAAGTCAGTCATCTGGAATTGTGCAACTCCTTCTGCCAGGAAGCTGGAAAAGCCCCTCCTGTACAGAGAGAAAAATATGGACTCGTCTCAACCATTTAGGAATTACAGAAATAAAGCATTTGTGTTTGGGTTACATTTATATAGTAAAGAGTTGTGGCAAACAATTTTGCTTCTTACTGTTAAAAATTCTGCTTTTATCCTTTCCAAGGTGCTATGTTTATTTAAAACTTGAGAAATGATTTGTACATTTTAAAATAAAGCGTGCAAAATACATTAAAAAGGCTCAGTGTCAAAGTTGTTTTTTCTGCCAGCGGGCACAGAGAAGAAAAAGGAAATGAGTAAGGAGAGAGGAGTGTCTTTAGAGCCACATGGCTAGTGAAATTTTCTATTTATTCTTTGGGGAAAAAGCAAAGTAGCTGCATAGCTGCTGGTTGGATAGGTGCCGGTACTATTTTTATTGGCAGGCAACTCTGAGTGGCTGAAAGGTGGTCATTAACACCCTGACACAAAGTGCTGACAGGGCGATTATAAGATTAACACCCTACGTTATATTAACAGTGTCAAAACCTCCCCTTACCTGTCAGTGAGAAATAATGGCACGAAGAAAAACATTATAGACATACTGAGATTTTAACATTAAAATGACACACAGCCACTAACTTTTTCAAATTGGTCTAAATATCTAGATACCCTACTAGAGTCCAATAAAATGAAAGAACATATTCTAAATTATAGTTTCACCAAATAAAATAATGAACACAAAAGCTAAGCCACCAGGGCTTACTTCCTCTCTTGTTGATGGCTTTTAGGCCCAATCTGCCGGGGAGTGGGTCTTTCACAACAGACGTCACTAGACTTTTGGTTTGGGATCTTGAAAACTCAGGGTTTTACCTTAAGACTTGACAAATTTGATAAACAGAGCTTTTCTGGAGAATCTTATTGCTGATGTGGAAGACAAAATTTGACTAGGATCTTTCTACAAGTTGACTGGTTATCCCAGACAGCACTACAACCTTGTTTTATGTCAATGAAAGCCTTGGGAGCCATCTATACTTGAAAGTGTCTCGGCTCCCAGTTCTAAGGATTGGGAGGAGCAAACCCTCTAGCATAGCTTCAGCTAAACTGGTTTATACTGCCCAGCCTTCTGATGGTTTGGTTAAATAAAATAAGCTACGGCAGAAAGTTCTTCCTGTAGCACTAGACCTACACCATCCCAGAAGGCCAACGTGGGCTGCATCAAAAGCAGCGTGGCCAGCAGGTCAAGGGAGGTGATTCTGCCTCTCTACTCCACTCTGGTGAGACTCCACCTGTTGTACTGCATCTAGCATTGGGACCTGATGGAGTGAGTCCAGAGGAGGCTATGAAGATGATCGGAGGACTGGAACACCTCTCCTACAAAGACAGAAGGCTCTAGGGAGACCTTATAGCCCCTTCCAGTACCTAAAGGGGCTACAGGAAAGGTGGGGAGGGATTCTTTTATATTTTATATGATGATAGAATATTCTATATGCTATACATTTTTGTCTGTAAGATCTATAGATAGAATACTTAGTACACATTCTTTATATGTATTTTGGCTTCTAAACAAGATAGGCAAAGCACCCAAAATGCCAAGTGCTTAAGTGTTGCATAAGAAAAGTTCAGTGGTTTTAAGTCAGATTTTCAGGGTTTTCAGAGAGTTGCAATGCCATCAGGATAGCTTAAAGTTTATTGAAACCCTTTGACAAAGTGTACGCAGTTAACTTAGGACTTGTTACAAATTACTAAAGCTCCATCTGAAAAGTTCAAATGTCTCAGAAACAGATCCAACAGAAACATTTAATAACTAAACAAGGATAAAGGATAGATTTACGACTGCTGTTTAGTTTGGGGGCTGTTGGAAGACAATGCAAAAAATTCACACTCTTAGAGCGTGCCTGCAGAAAATGGAGTATTTATCACATCAACAGATGAGAATTGCCAAAGGTAGGGAGTTTCCAATAAATAGGATTCTAGTTTTAGGAACAACCTGTTAAAGTATTTCTATGTGTAATTTTATTACAGCATCTGCTTTGGCTGAAACCAAGGTCTCCAGGGCAATTCTGAACTTTCAAGTCATCTATAGAATTGAATGTTTTCATCTACATATCTTTTTTACTTCAAAAAATGAAAAATATGACATAATTCAGAGAAAATGATGTTTAATCATGTTTCATTAATGATATTCATGCAGACATCTATGCTGACAAGAGTCTTGGAATATTTTCTGAAATGTTAAAAATGCCTTTAGAGATTTTTTGGCATTTCATGAAATTTGTGTGATTTTTCAAATCAAGGAAGACTCAAGAAACACTATCAAGATAGCTAGGTATTCCGTGGTCTAATTTATAATAAGATCAGGTGGCCATTGAAAAGACACTCAAGAAATGAGGTCTTGCATACATTACAGTTTTCTGGGAATTTAAGTGATATAGAAAGGCTTTGTTTACTAAGTGAATGGCACTGTATTGCTCTCCCTTGACTTTAGCCATAAAATGTTTAACTACACTGTTTTAGCTGTTTAGCAAAGGTATATATCTTTTTTTTTTTTTTTTTTTTTAAACTTTTATTAACATCCCTAAGTTACTTTGTGGGAACCCTGTGTCCCGTTTATCTGCCTCTGGAAGTAATTGAAACTCCTGTTTCATAGGAAAGGGAAGATTGTGCAGCTCTCCTGTTCAAAGGGCCTCTCTGTCCTCTGGGTAAGACAGAGACCAGCTCTTCAAGCGTTACTTCTGCTGGGAAGTACTAAGAGGGGATTATGGGCTGGTAGAGTTAGAATCACTGGTGAGTACATGCCACAGATTCGCTGGCTCTGAGCTCTGAATGGGAGGGGAGCAACAGGCTGTATCTGCTAATCCTTATCCCTTTCTTTCTGCACATCTTCTGTGTGACAAGAAGAGATCACCGGTGACATTCTGCCCCAGCCCCAGCCCTTCTTTCACAGTTGCAAATCAAGACACACTTTGGCAAAGTCGGGGTGGCAGCCAACAAAAAAAAAGGCGTAACACAAAGAAAGCCACCAAATAGTTAATAAACTATGAAATCATGTGTAGACTTGAAAATGGGAGGAGCACTACCTAAGACCTTATTTATAAAGGCGTAAAGACATAAAAGATGACCTTCTGTGACCACTAAGGGGATAACTTCATCAGGAGACATTTGTGCCAGAACATGAGCAGACTCGGGCATGTCAATCATGTTGAAGTGACGGAAACTTTACTGTAGTCCTTTGCGAGGGGTTCTGAATGAACAAGGCGGGGTTTTTTTGTTGGGTTTTTTGATTGTTTTTCATGGTGGGT